ACCATATCACCCTTCAGGCTGTATTCCATCTGTACAATGTCGAGTTCGAAGTTCTTTCGTCCGATGAACTTGGGTATCTAGGTATACGACAGTCATTTCATCAATACTTGCAAACCCGCTATATACTTTTCTAGTTGGACATTCCGCAGAGAATGACGAAAGACAGTACGGTTGCTTAGCAGATGGATTGGTTCATTTAGATGAAGAGTATAATACAACTGAGTGTTTGGCAGATTGTGAGCTAGATAATCCATGTAAAGTTCTCAAATGGAGATCTGATACACAGTTGATCTGCACAAGGTTGGAACGGTTGCTATGATAATGGCTTCGATGCTGAACGGCTCGACGATTTGTTGGGACGTGATGGGTGTGCCAGGGTTCAGACTGATGTCGCCACTAGTTGTTAAGCGAAGGCGTGTGAGGTTAAAGGTAGAAACAGAGTTCGGAGTATAAGATATCCGTCGAGTGAAGTAGCGATGCGATCGTGTCGAAATCAGTTAAAGATGAAAATCCAAGATGGCGGGTCCGATGAATCCACGACAGGCAACTAACTCCAGAAATATCAAGGCCATAAAATGAACAGAAAACGAACGTATGTAGATACAGTGAAGAGCGACTTAAACAACAGTAAATAATGAAATAAATAAAAAACTATGGCGGAGCGTATAAGATTATGACCAGCCGCCATCACGCCACTGATCAATTTTTTTTCTTTGCATTGCTTACTTTTATGTTTGTTGATCCTCCTCATTGAAAGGCTAATTATGTCGATGCGAGAGAGACAGAAATTATGTTGTGTGAACTTAAGATTGCTAACTATTTATAAGTGAATAATAAAAATAAGAAATGTTTGAGAGTGAAGTTTGTAATTGTGCTCACACTTGGTAAGATGATGAATTTACATTTTGCACTTAATACCCGTCCTTTCCCTCGGCTCTTTTGTAATTCACCTTTTCTCTGTTGTTAACTTTTTTCAGTCTGTTTTCCATCGCAATTTCTCTTTCCTTCTCACGTTGCTGAAAAATTACTGAAAAGTACTGTTTTCAACGTCGACTCTGTTACGGTATCCTCTAAACCGACAGAAAGATACAACTCGTACCAACTCAACTACTTTATTAACTGACGTAATAATCTTACAACGGAGCGATACCGAAACTAATACGATAACTATCTTCTTAACTTAGATCCCTCTATAAAAACTATAACCTCAGTATACTACTGCACAACTCACAGTTCTCTTCAGAGATCCTCGTAACGTATCGATGTACACTTAAACCTTCTCCAACGTAGCCTTCCACACGGCTGACGATTCTAATAACAGTAAATAACTCCAACAACTCTCTGTGGTCCAGCTCTGTAATAACATTAGCTTCTCTGGGCTCTTCAGGACAACACTAACTCTATTTTTAATATCATGACATCACTATTGCATCATAACAAAACATATCGACTAAGGGTTCTAGAAAGTTCCATTAAACGTTCTCAATGAGTCAGCATGACTAAGCGTTCTAGAAACTTCTTCAGTTCTATTTTTAGTGATTCCGTAACGCAAAGCACTCTCCATAACAACCCATTTAGCATGACTTCTCTCTCCGAGAAGTAGGCTTTTGTACATTATGCTTTTGTTTCCCCACTAAAATGCTCCACCTTAATGCTCCATTTTTCCCACTAAAATGCTCTGTCTCCCCCATAAAAGTAACTAAAATGCTCGGATAACGCTCATTATACAAAGGCTTTTTTAAATTAATTTGAAAGTTTACACTTACGTACAAGTGTTGCAAGTAACGACGACGCATACAGGTTTATGTTTTCTTCGTGACCCATGTAACTTACATAAGTCACGAAGAAAAAAAACATGGCCGCTTTTTGATTCTCGAAAGGTAAAACCGCTGACTTGTCCTCAGTCTCCAGCTCGACTCAGCTGTATTAGGTTTTTTCGTGAATTAAAAGCGGGACTGGAAAAAGTTGATTTCTATTTTATTTTCTCGCCAAAAATTAATTTTCCGGGAAAATGCCACTAAAATGCTCGAATAATGCTCAAATAATGCTCAAATAATGCTCAATGCTTTTGCCTCTCTAAAATGCTCGAAAAAATGCTAGCATAATGTACAAAAGCCCACCGAGAAGTCATGCTAATTGGGTCACGACGGTTTAAGTGTATCTTTCTGAAATGGGGGTAGCTGCTGGCATTTTACCACGAGGGCTCAAAGCTGCATTTCCGAACCGTTCGCTCGCGTTTGGCATTTATCCCATGGGAATAAGGAGGCTGTTGATGGAAGAACTTGCGACTCTTGGGCGGAGAAGCTATTATTCTTTATCAAAAAGCTTTAACGATGCGGGCTAATTGCGTGGCATCAAATTAGTATCCCTTTGTTTATATTTAGTTCGCGTTTACCAAAAATATCATCTTGTGTTTTTCTGCAACTGAACGCTTCGCCTTAAAGTAACAATTTCCCTTTTGGTTTAGTGTTGAGAAGCGTTTGATAACAATGCGTGCGGTTACTAAGCATAGGTATAATCTCGCGTCGACGGCGAAAAAGCCTTTTTCTTTTACACTCGACTCTAGGTCTCATAGAAAGACGAATACTGTTTAGGGAGAATGCGGGGTATACGGAAAGTTAGTGTTTATCGCTTGGGAAACATGTTATCGCTTGTGTTCGCGCGGTGTTTAAAGGCAAAATTCGAGCTAATGAAGTTGGACAAATCTTGTAAACGTTAGCACGTGACAGATGACTGACGCCGCTCAAACGCAAAAATTTATTTTCAGTAAACGGGTGGCGTTACTAGTTTGAACCTTCCAAACCGATGTTACAAGTCGTTCGACGGAAAATAATCCAAGTCGTTCGAACGGACTGATGTTTTTCAACGAACAGATGACCAAGCCGTTCGTATGTCATTTGTTTTCGACAAAC